CTTATGAACTAACCACAGCCAGTTTCAAACTTCTGCAGCTTCCTCACCTCTGTCAGCCTTCATTGAATTAAAGAGAATTAGAGTCTTGCTCTGGATTAGGATTTGGCTTGAGTGAATATTGTGGCTGGTTTGATCTTCTATCCAGACCACTGAAACTTTCTCCATATCAGCAATAAGACTGTTTCCCTTTCTTATCATTTGTGTGTTCACCAGAGTAGCACTTTTAATTTCCTTCAAGAACTTTTCCTTTGCATTCACAGCTTGGCTAGCTGTTTGGCACAAGAGGCCTAGCTTTTTGATATGTCTTCTTCACTAACCTTAATCATTGTTAGCTTTTGATTTAAAGTGAGAGACATGTAACTCTTCCTTTCACTTGAACTCTTAGAGGCCTTTGAAGGGTTACTGATTGGCCTGATTTCAATGCTGTTGTGTCTCAGGAAATATTGAGGCCCAAGGAGAAGACAACACGGGGGAATGGCCAGTCCGTGGAGCAGTTAGAACACATACTACACTTATGCATTAAGTTCACCATTTTATATGATTGTGGATTGTGGCATTCCAAAACTATTACAACAGTAACATCAAAGCTCAATGATCACAGATAGCCATAACAGATATAATAATAATGATGAAAAATTTGACATATTGGGAGAATTACCAAAATGTGACACAAAATGAGAACATGTTGGAAAAATGGTGCTGATATATTTGCGCAATGCAGGGTTGCCATAAATCTTCATTTTGTAAAAAATGCAGTATCTGTAAAACATGATACACCTTGAGATATGCCTGTACTGGAATAGACATATATATGGAACCAATTAGAAAGTCCAGATACAGATTCAATTCTGTGTAAACATAAGGCATACACCTATTATCACAGGAATTCTATTTCAAAACAGTTGAATATGTAGACAAAATATATGAACAAGAATGTTTCCTTCAAAGCAAAACATTACAATTTCAATATGATAGGATTGGCTAGATAAATTATGACCAGGTATATATTGGGACCCAAGTTCATCATGTAGACATATAATTGTCATTGAAAAGGGTACAAAATATATCATTAGAGTTAATAAGACATTAGAAAATATTTTATATAATACTATGCTTATATATAATATTTTAATAAGACTTACAGAATATCCTTTGAACCCTCCTGCCACTTTGGGTAGAAAACTGCAAATGCCATTCTCAAGATTCTATAGAATCTACAGGGCATACAATTTCCATGGCATACAATTTCCATTCTCATTATCATCTCTCGATTTCATTTATTTTTCTCGTCTGCTGTCTGTTCTTGACTCTTCCCCATCACTACTAGAATAGGCAGCATAACCCTGGTTATTTGCTCCAAGAGACTTTGTATGGGAAAATTTATAACAACATTATCCTAAATAACAAAACACCTAGGAAACATTTAAGAGTCCATTGTCAGGAGAATGTCTAAATGAATTGTGGTATCCTTAAACAATGAGCTCCTGTACCATACTGAAGATAGATGAAACTCAGAAACATAATATTGATTGAGAAAAATCACAGAACTAGAGCATTTGATACTATATATATAAAGTTTGAAAGCATACAGTACTAAAAATTTATTTTTTATTGATACTTACATGTATAGTTAAAATTTAACATGATCCAAGGAATTAAAAACACGAAGTTCAGAAAGCATTTAGCCTTGGTAGAGGAGGAAAAAGGGTAAGACTGGCTGGAAAGATGAACATGGGATGGGTTGGGGGGCAGGTTTCAATGATATAATGGTAATATTCTACGTCTTAAACTGAGTAGTGGACACACATGGATCCATTTAAAAAAAATATCTTGCATATCCTCTTTTGAGGGTCTCTTGTCAGATATTTTGTTGAAATACCTCTGTTTTTTACACTGAAATATTTGGTTACAAAAGCATTGTTTCACTATCTTCGTTTTTACCAACTCCTTCCCTCAGGGACCTCATCTTCCCTAAGGAAGGCAGGTTCTATAAAGACTTACATTCCGAGAAGAAATTAAGGCCCTCCATTAGGAAGCAGAAGAGGGAGCACTTCATTATTGCTTAAAATATTTTTTCTTTCCTTTGCTTATACTCACATGTCCACACACATTCACAGAGTGAAACAGTCTGGGAGGATGTTCACCAAAATATTATCCTCAGTTATCTCAGCATGCTGGTTTTTCATGTGATTACTTTCCTCTTTCTTTATATTTTCAAATTATTCTCTAATAAACATATATACTTCATTTTTAAGGAAGAAAGCTAATTAACCCATTCTTTGTGGTTAAATTTCAAAGTGGTTTTCGAGGCTTTAAAAATCCTCAGAAGTGTTCATAAACGCTGTAAAATTCCGATTTAACTAATCCATGGGTTGTTTTGACTAATTTAATTTCAGGATGGAACTGGGAGTTTAACTGGAGACTCTTTTTTCATAGAATCTTTACAGTATTATCATTGTAATCTCAGTTTTTCACTTTTTATATGCAAATCAGTGAACAATACTAACTGAACTGAAAGGCAAAATAATTTACATTTGAAAAAAAATAATCATTTCTCTAACTTGTATTAGAGAAATGATTAAACAAATAGCTTTGTTTAAAGGACACTAGAGACTGTTCAGTTGATCAATACGTATTTACTGAGCATCAACTCATCAACTATTGGCAGGATCTGTATTAGATTCTAGGGATAAAGTGGTGAACAAGACAAATTCCAGCCTTCAGGGAGCTTATAGTAACCTGCTTGACTCATTATACAATGTGTTTCATCCACAATTTTATCAACAGACAATTCTGCTGGAAGATTTTCAGTAATGTGGAATTCCTTCTGTTGCTTTCTAATGCTATTTGTTAACTAATTTTATAGTGTATTTTTATTTTAAAAGGTAAACAATATTATTAATTCATAGAAAATTATTTTTTGTATTGAGCCAAATTTGCCCTTCTTGACTTATAAACATTAGTCTTTGTCTTGTCTTTGTGGACTTTAGAATAAATCTACCACAGTAACTTTTCCCCATCCCCCCTTTGTGGGATAGTTCATGAGGGATAGCCTTTCAAATCGTTGAGAAAACTATTATGTGGCTGTAAGGCTTCTCTGGATAGAACACTGTAGATCCTTTCATCATTTCTTCTCTGACATGGTTTCAAAATTATATGTCATCCTGATTGCTTTCCTCTGGATGCCTTCTACTTTGTCACCCTTTGTTGTTAAAAATAAATTACTCCCAATTTCCTGCTTTCAATGGAGTATCATGACCATAATTGACTCTCTGATGTGTGAGGGTCTGGTGTGATCTGAAAGCAATTACCCTGACCTTGAATTCTGCTGTACTGTAGTATCCCTGTGGAAAAACTAGGAATTCATACTAAATCTTTATCAGCCCTAGAATATACTTAGGGAGATTTTTAAGAAGTATTAGTTTATTTTCTTATTTGTCTTTTTCTCGATTGTGAAGCATACTTTATAAAGGTAGCACATACAGATGGTCTACAACTCATGATGGTTCAACTTATGAGGTTTTGACTTTGCAATGGTGTGAAATCAGTGTATGTTCAGTAGAAACTGCACATCATTTTGAATCTTTTCCTAGGCTAGCAATATACCCTATGATAGATCCTCTCTCATGATGCTGGGCAGTGGTAGGAAGCCACAACTCCCAGTCAGCCACAAGATCGCAAGGGTAAATAACCAATACTCTGCAATCTGGTACTGTGTTACCAGATGATTTTGCCCAAGTGTAGGCTAATTAAGTGTTCTGAGCACATTTAGTGTAGGCTAGGCTAAGCTATGCTGTTTGGTAGGTTAAGTGTATTAAATGCAGTTTCTACTTACAATATTTTCAACTTACTTTGGGTTTTTTGTAAAGTCGAGGAGGATATATAGCAAAAATGAAATATGATTGTGAATTTCATCATGCAGAATTTCACAGTCTTCTCCAGCAGACTGTGAACTTCTTAAGAGCAAGGATTCTGTCTCATTAGTTTTAAAAAATGTCCAGCATTTAGCACATAATTTATATATATAATATATAACTATGCTGCATATTATATTACATATATAATAGATGCCTAGTAAGTATTTGTTGACCAATTAATACCTTTTGTACAAGAAATTAAAATCTTATAAAGTGAAATAAATTCTAATTTTTAGAATATATCAAATAATCAATCATATAGAACTGGATCTACATTTTATCCTAACCTGAAAAGAGTACCTTAGTATATTAGTTAACGGTATTTACAAGGAAAAATACTAGTGTGCTGGATGGCAAGACATTTAACTCTAAATGACAGAAAACCCAAATAGCAATGGCTCAAACTGTAAGAATGTTATTATTTATGTAAGAAGTCTGGAGAAACTGGCCCTGGGTCTATTTGAGCAGCTCAATGATATCATCAAGGTCCCAGGCTCTTTTTATCCTTCTGTTGTTATTCTTGGCTTGTTACCTTTTTGATCTGAAGATTATTGCCTTATGGTCACAAAATGCTTGCCCTAGCTCCAGATATCAAAACTGCATCCAAAGAGAGGAGCCTGGGGATGGCCTTGACTCTGAAAGTGCCTCCTTATAAGCTTCTTCTCTGGGGAAAAATGATTTTCCACGAGCCTTTAGCAAACTTCCTCTTACATCTAATGGGCCAAAGTTGAGTTATATGGCTGTCTCTAGGAGGCTGGCAAAGGAGTAGAGTCTTGGGAATGACTATTGATTAGTTAACCAACAGTTTATGCCACAACTAGATTATATATATATATATTACAAAGAGGGCAATGCCTTTACAATTCAGTAATAAATTCAGTCCTTTTAAATTATGAGGACTCTTAAAAATATCACTGATGACATTGGGGTTACATGATTCTATAGTTTATTCAAACAGATGAATCATCAGCTGTCAATCACTTTGGAAAGAACTAATGAACCTGATTATCTTTTCTAGTTTTTATAAATTAAACAAGGCCATTTCTTCATCACAAAGCTGTTTTTATTTTTTCTTCTTTTCAGGAGTCCTATCCAAAAAAGAGAAATTACACTATGGAAATTGTACCATCTGCTTCTCTGGATACATTTCCTTCAGAAAATGAGAACTTTCTGTGTGATCTCATGGACACAGCTGTTACAAAGAAACCTTGCTCCTTAGAAATTGCAAGGGCACCTTCCCCAAGAACTGGTAATATCTCTTACTCACGATTGACCTGATTTGATTTACTTGTTTGTTTATGTGAAGATGCATCATTAACATTTTGATTTCCTACTATGTTATCAAAATGAAAGTTCCCCCAATGTAGTTCCAATAATTATTTTTTTGATTTTAAAGTGAGCCCAGGTAAGTCAGAGGGTTTTTTATTTGAAGTCTCCTAACTTCCTGGTAAAAGCCCTAATGGACATGGTAATGCTTTGATGAAGATGCTTGGAAACCTTTTAATAGTAAAAAAAACCTTCCAGGTAAGATACACAGCTTTGGGTCCTTCAGGAGTTCATAGCCAATTTGGTAGCAAGAGTGTTTTTGTATCATTGTCTGCATCCTATCTGTTACCAAGTTATCAAATCTTACTTAGCTGCTTTATATATTTCGTGTCTTTTATGGCATTATCAGATCCATTATTTTATTTTTTTGCATTACAAACTAGTGAACAAAGCAAGACAAATATTATCCCTATTGCTGATAAAGAAATTAGAGTTTTAAGAGCAATAGTGGGGCCTATGCTTGAACATGGATTTTTGACTACCATTATAGTGTCTTTCTATTACTTTAAGAAAGAATACAGAATAATTACATGAAAGCTAGTGAAGGAGGAAATTTTCAAGTGGATGGTCAATATATTTAATGCTGCGAAGGAGTTGTTAGAAAAGTTCTGAAGAGAGGCTTCTTTTTGGTTTGGTAATGCGATTGCAACTTACTTTGCAATAGTAAATTTTAGAAGTGATGTGGTAAAAGTAGATGTCTGGAAGTTAATAGTGAGACATTGGGAAATGGGAAATAAGACACTGGGAAAGGGAATAGAGAGTACAGATAACTCTTCCAAGGAGATGAGAAGAAGAGGTATGATAATAACATAAGAAAAAAGCAGGTGCAAGAGGGAAATAGCTAGTTTATGTTAGGATAAGTAAGACTTGGTCAAGTTTAGAGGAATTTTCTTGTAGAGCAAGGTATTGAAGATAAAGAATAAAAAGACAGAACAGAATGGGTAGAAGTTAAGACTCAGCTAGTTTAGGGAAACACAGACATTTTTTCCCCAGAGAGTAGGGAGAAGACAGCATGGTTATAAATGTAGAAAAATTCTGAAATATTTATTTTCAAATGGATTCAATTTCTGGGTAAGATAAAAGGTTGTTGGCTAAAAGTAAGAGCTAGACCTTAAGAAGGGTTAAATTAAAATTCAGGCCAGGAGCGATGGCTCATGCCTGTATTGTTAGCACTAGCCTATTATAGACACTACCTCATGCCTGTATTCCTAGCCAAGGTGGGTGGATCACTTGATCTCAGGAGTTCAAAACTAGCCTGGGCAACCTGGTGAAACCCCATTGCTGCAAACAATTAAAAAATTAGCTGAACGTGATGGCACATGCCTGTAGTCCCAGCTATTCAGGAGACTGAGGTGGGAGGATTGCTTGACTTCGGGAGGTCAAGGCTGCAGTAAACCATGGTCACACCACTGCACTGCAGCCTGGGTGACACAGCGACACCCTGTCTCTAAATAAATAAGTAAATAAAATTTTAAAAAGCCATTATATATTATAGTCTAGGTTGTACAAGTGAAAAAAATGGATTTTTTGAGTAGTACTGTGGCTAGGGTATTAATTAATCATGAACATACAGAAGGAAGATTTTTAAAGTAAGAGCATAGTAATGAAAATAGTAAATTTATTGAGCATTTATTATGTGGCAGATACTGTTCTAAGTGCTTTATATGCATTATTCCATATGATTCTTACAATGCTATGAGGTACTAATATCATTCTCATTTTACAGATAAGGAAACTGAGGCATTGAAACACTAGCTGGCCTCACAAGGTTACATGTTAATGAGGAGTGGATTTGGTACTTGACCTTGAGTTATCTAACTTGTGCTCTTAAACACTATACTATAGTGCTGCATTGCATTAGGGGATGAGGTGGGTAGATATTGGGAATCAAGTACTGAAACCTTCCAAGAAATGTAGAGATATGACTGAAGGTCCACATATGATAGCAATAAAATTAGAAAAAGAATGTTTTAATAGAATAGGGTAAACTTCAGATGAGCATCAGATTTTGGATGAAGGCCAGTAATAGAAAGTTATCCACAGCAGTCATGGAGAATGAAAACAATGCTGACCCCAGGCTATGGAAGTTGACAAGAATGAGGACTTTTCCATAAGAGAGATAATGAGGGAAATAGCATATTCAGGATGGAAAGCTTCATTAAAATAGGAAAATGCAGGAATAGATGTGCAAAATGTGAAAGAGCTTTAATTGGGGCACAGAGTGTAGGGAAATATCAGGGGTGATAGAGGAAAGAATGCAAAATTGAAGACACAGCTATGTATTAAGTAGTCAGAAACTAATTAAGTTCTTATGCATACGAGGGCACAGTTCTGAATGCTGAGGATATAAGGATGAAAATGACATGGACACAGATAATAAGGCTGATCAGGCTCAGGTCAACTCTTGCTGAAAACAAATAAAAATGCTGGATACAATATAGAAAAGAAAAAAACTTCTTAAAAGTATCAAAAACCTGATATGAAAATTACATAAATTGAATCACATCTAAATTAGGAATTTCTTTTTATCAGTTGGTTAGTAAGAAATAATCAGGCCAAAACATTGGTGAGGGTAGGAAATAAATGATGCACTAAAGCCACCTTTGTCCTGGGTGAACTTACTGAACCTGCTGATGAACTTCAGTGCTCAACGCTTTTGTGGCTTTGGATACAGAAAACACTCAGGGACTGTAATATGAAATCCTTCCTCCTTAGAACTAGGATTCTAAGGGCTACACCCTCAGAGGAATCAGAGGTAATCTTGTATTCCCCACCCCAAGGGGACTGCAAGGAAAGATGATTTGTTGTGAGCAGAACAAGGCAGGTCAGGGGGTAGGAAATTCCTGAAGAGTTATTACTACTAACTAGCCCTCACAGATTGCCACCCAAAATTCGTATCACCTAGGTGGTCCAAAAAATGTCAATTCGTGCATTTAAAGTCATACCCTCAGGTATCAAGTGGAAGAAAATGTAATCCCTCTGGAGAAAAATATACTCTCCTCCATGGCCCCAAATAATTTCTATAAATACCCCCGTCTCTACTAAAAATACAAAAAATTAGCCGGGCGTGGTGGCGGGTGCCTGTAGTCCCAGCTACTCGGGAGGCTGAGGCAGGAGAATGGCGGGAACCCGGGAGGCGGAGCTTGCAGTGAGCCGAGATCGCGCCACTGCACTCCAGCCTGGGTGACAAAGCGAGACTCCGTCTCAAAAAAAAAAAATACCTTTCCTATTATTAAAATTAGCAGTTTCTAATAATTAAGCCTATAGGGAAAGAAACCCCAAAAAGAACCAACAAAAACAAGGAAGAGCCGATCCACACCTTAAGTGCTTTCAAATATTGAAATTAGTAGATGTAGACTATAAAATGACTGTGCCATTATAAAGAAAAAGTGAGCCTGAAGATATTTTTTGGGACTAGAAACTAAAAACAACAACAAAAAAATTGACCTGGCATATTGGAGAGGAAAAAAAAAACTTTTAGAAATGAAAAAAATCCAATTACTCACACACACACAGTTTAAAACTCAATGGATGAGTGGAACAGCAGATGAGATTCTGCTGAAGAGAGATACAGTGAACTGGAAATTTTAGGCCACAATAAATTTTTCGGAATGTTGCACAGAGACAAAAATATGGAAAATATGAAAGAGAAGCTGAGAGACTTAAAAGATATACTGCAAAGTTTTAACATGTCTAATCAAAGTTCCGGAGGAGAAGAAAGAGAGAATGTGACAAACATAATATATTTAAGGAGATAATTTTTCAAAAAGCTTGGTATTATCCTTGAGCTCAAAGAGAGACAGACAAGTGAAGAGTTAAATTCAACTGAGTACAATAATTGCTAAGATAATGTTTCACAGAGAGTTCTTTGGGAACAGAAATGGGGGAGCATTTACCCTTACCTGGAGCTTGAGGAAGACATAAAGCTCTGCCTATATCAGTTATCTATTGTTAACAGGCCACCCCAAAAGGAACTGACATCAGTCATTTATTTTGTTTACAAATCTGCAAGTTTGACAAGGCTAGTCAGGGACTGCTTATCTGTGTCACATCTTATGATCTTGGGCTGTTAAACTGGGGAATAGGGGAACACTTTTAAGATGGTCAACTCACATGGCTGGCAAGTTACTGTTGGCTGTGTACCAGTAACTTGGCTAAGGAAATGGACTGGAGGCCGTTTTTTTGCTCTCCATGCACTGCTTTGGTTTCCTCCTGACATACTGGCTGGATTCTGAGAGCAAGCATCTCCAAAGAACTAAGAGGAAGCTGCATCATTTGTATTATCTCATTGTTCTGGAGACTGGAAATGTGCAGGATACCAGCATGGTTGGGTTCTGGTGAGGGCTCTCTTCCTGGCTTGTGGAAGGCTGTCACCACCCTGCTTACCAAACCTCTTCTTCATATATGCACAGAGAGAGAGAGAGGGAGTGAGTCTTAGATTTTTGCCACAGACCTAGTAAAAGATTGCAGAGGGAGAAGCTTGTTTCAGCTTCCAGTTAGATTTTCTTTCCTTTAAGCTTTCACCAACACCTTTCTTACAGCTTTTAAGGCTTCCACAAATCCATCCATTCCTTGGCCCTTTTGGCTTGACAGGCACTGGCTTTGGAGCTCTTCCAGCTTCTTCTGCTGCCCAATCTCAGTGCTAATGACACATATTTTAAGTTTTTGTTTTGGCAGCATCCCATATCCAACTATCAAAATCTATTCTGGTTATTGTCGCTGCATAACAATCCATTCCAAAACTTAGTGGGTGAAAACAACAGTCATTTGTTTTGCTTTTAAATCTGCAATTTGGGGAGGGCTTGGCTGGGGTAGCTTATCTCTGTTCCATGTGGTGTCAACTGGCGAAGCTTAACTGGGGTCTGGAGGTTTTATTCTCAAGATCCATACTCGTGTCACTGGCATGGCCTACTTGGACTTTCT